AAAAAAAAAAAAAAAAAAAAGAGCTGCATATCTATAAACCCAGCATTATTTAGATCTGGAGCGAAACTCAGAACTTGACAGTGGTCGATAGGTGATGAAATTAAGTGGGATATCTTTACCTGTACGCAAAACGATCGAGTGTTTACTGAATCGGATATGAATTTCGAAATTCTGGACGATTTTCTTGAAGAAAAATCAATAGAAGAAAAAGACAAAGAAAGTGCGGAGAATGAATTGGTCTGGACTCTGGACTCTCGGCTCTGTGAATAGTATGAAAAAAAGGAAAATATGAAAATAGAAAAGGGCAAATTAAAAAAAAAAATAACAACATAAATTAAAATAAGGAGAAACCCGGCACGAAATCATCCTGTCGGAGTTTGTTACCGTTAGATCATCATGTAATTGTCGAGGATAGTTGATCTAAGACTGAAAACTCCGACAGAATCGTTCCGTAACGAGACCATAAATAAGATGTGTGTATGTATTTTTATTTAAAAACTAGTACAACACCCGTGTATTACACAAGTGCTTGTTAAAAAAATATTCTTAAATTTTAAAATTAGTGAGCAAACTATATTAAATTTAATTTACTTTTTTACAAATAAAATATATATTACTATATATTTTAGAATGATATGTGTTACTTATGACTTACATGTGTTATATTATATTAATTTTTATAATTTATATCATATAACTACTTGAAATATAAATATATTAGTTGATAAATAATTTTATTTTTCTAATTAATATTAAAAATAATTTTATTATTGTTATAAAGATAAATATTAATTATTTTTTTTATACATACAATATGGATGTTAAAATATTACATATGTAAAACTGATAAAAATTACCAAAGTTATTAACTTTTAATATATATATATATATATATATATATATATATATATATATATACAATTCAATAGTTATAATAAGGAATGATATTAAAATACAATTAATACATGTAACATGACCATAAATAATCAACATCCCCCTATATATTAATACAGAATGCGCTGAGCCTACGTGGCTGCTTCTGGTGCTTCGGAATCCTATGTGGCAAAATTACATGCTTCGTTATTAGGCTCTGTGAATAGTATGAAAAAAAAGGAAAATATGAAAATAGAAAAGGGCAAATTAAAAAAAAAAAAATAACAACATAAATTAAAATAAGGAAACCGTCACGAAATCATTATGTCAGAATTTGTAACCGTTAAATCATCGTGTAATTGTCGAGAATAGTTGATTTAAGGCTACAAACTCCAACAAAATAGTTCCGTAATGAGACCATAAATAAGATGTGTATATGTATTTTGATTTAAAAATAATGATTAATCAACTCGTTTAAGGTGTGATTCGATATGAATTTTATTGATTTTTTATTGATTTTGTATTATTTATAGTTAATTTTTAAAAATATGGTATAGTTAATTGTTAGTGAAATTTAAATTTAGAAAAATGATGGATCAATAACGGACTAATGTTGTAAAAATATGGTAAAGAATTTAGTCTGTTGGTAAATATAAAAATTTAAGTTTAAAATAAAAAAAAATAAAATAATTAAATTAGATTTAATTACTGGTGGTTAGTTAAATTTATGTGAATGAATGAATAAGAATTAAAATTAATGTAATGTGTAATAGTGATTAGTTGATATTATTTAATTAATATTGATATTATTGATCATAATGGGGTTGAGTTAAAAACTTAAAATTGAGTTAAAATCCTCTATTATTATTATTATTATTATTATTATTATTATTATTATTATTATTATTATTATTATTATTATTATTATTATTATTGAATTTATATCAAATCCTCTAAGTCTCTTCATAATAATCATGTTTACTATCATTGCATAAATTTGAGACAGTCATACTGTTTTTATAAATAAAGACTTTTAAAGTGAAATGTCATATTGAAAAAGAAAATTTCTAACAAATACATGTACTTGTAAATCGAAATATTATATTAGAAAATAATATACACAAATGTATAATATTTTACAGTCTAAGTATGTATCTATATATATATAAACGGATTTACCATTTTTAAAAATAGCAGGTCAACTTTTTGGTCAATTTCGGACAACATTAAATATTTACTAATTTAGGTAAGTTTTTTTTCAGTAAAATCGGGCAGCAATAAATGATGTCCTTAATTTTTGGGATTAGTTGATTTCAGATCGAAGTTTTCGGCTGAATTATGATAATCCGCGGATTTTTTTTATTTTATTTTTCCCTAAATATGTGGTAGTGGTGTCATTGGCTCATTCAATTTCTTATTTTACATTGCGGTTGTAGTGTTTTGGATTAAATTTAATATCATTTTTTTTTATTTCAAAACCGACTAACATATATATTGATTTTCTCATTTTACAAAAATCATCATTATTGTCACACAATATTTTTAAATATTAAATTAAAATTTATTAATGTGATATAATAATCAAATATTATTTTATTAATAATAATCAGATTGACACATGAATTGCATATCAAAATAAATTGTAGGATTTGTTACAAAACTCTAAAACTCTAATTACATATGAAACTTTCCAATATATAGAATTTGTTACACTTTGTATTTCAAAAATCTCAAATTAACAATTGACTGAAACTCTAATTGTTTTTAATAACTCAATTTTGAATTGAGTTCCAATTTCTAAAATCCAATAAATCAATGTTTTAAAATTAAAGTACCTAATATAAAGAATTTGGTTCAATTTACAATTCTAATATATCAACATATATAGATTCGAAACCCATAACAAAGTTATTAACAATTGACTGAAAATATGATTCTTGGTACTCAATTTTGAATTGAATTCGAATTTCAAAAATCTTGGAAATCAGCAACAATTTCTAAAAGTTAGATAATCAAAGCAAGAGAAGAATTGTCGCAATCAAAAAAGATAACATGATCCATACAAAATATGAATTAGATAAACATGGATCAAATTATTTAAGAACCATTTATTCCCTTAAAAGATTGTGAATTACATAACCTCCGATATACACAAGATCCATATAAAATAAAATTTAGATATACATAAATCAGTTTATTTATTAAATATTTTTAAATTTATAAACATGTTATATAGAAATATATATCACACGTGTTTATAAAACTCGTGAATATAGATACAAGAATATATAGCAACAAATGTTTAAAAGACCTCCACCCAACTAACTTACACATTAGTCGAAATAAACTCGTGTTAAACTTTTCAATCTTAATCTACGGCCCAATCTGCAATCTTAGCCTCATTCAAAAATTTAATTGATTTGTGCCGAAATTAAATTAATCAGTTTTTGTTTGGACTGTGCAAATGGTGCAATTGTGTTTCGCTTGGGCTTCATATGCAAGGCATGTCAATGATAGTCTCTAAATTACTGTTAAACTTTACGATTGTTTTCATATTTAATGAAAATACTAATTGTTAATGTTCTTTTACTTTACGATTGTTTTCATACTTAATGAAAATATCAATTGTTAATGTTCTTTTACTTTACGATTGTTTTCAAGTTAATAACTTGACTACTTTTCATCATTAAAATCCACTCCCCCAAAATAAAATTATTGGATTTATCATTTGGTGGAGTGGATCTTAATGATGAAAAGTAGTCAAGTTATTAACTAAAAATTGTTATCTAAAATCAGCTCACAAATTTCAATAGAAAGTTGAACAAACAAAAAAAAAAAATGTTAGTAGCTGTAACAAAAAAATCATTTAAATTTGGTGGTTAGTTACTACAGAAAAGATCATCTTTTATATTCTAAACACATATCAAGGATAACTTTGAACAAAAATTAAGATAATAGCTTTTTTATAAACAATTAATAAAAAACAAACAAACCAATTTTGTGTCGAACCTGAAACATTTATTTTAAAAAAAAAAGTATATATAAAAATTATTAAGGAAAAATTTACGTTTATATACAGTCTCATTTTGATTTATTTGATGGTCAATTTAATAATTGTTGTAAGTAATTTTTGTTTTATTTGGAGAAAATTGTGAAATATGGAATATGAAAAGGGAGAGGGGAGAGAAATTAGAGAAAACCATTAAATTATGTTTCAATCTATAAATTATTCAACTTACTGTTAAAGAAGTTACATGATTCAAACTAAAAATATAGTTTATAAGTATAGCTGGGAATGTAAAATAACTATCTACATAGAATAGGAATCTATTAATATATAACAAGGATTAACATAATTCACTTTTAGAAACACTTTCCCGCCATTTTCATAATTGTCTAAAAATAGTAAATTAACAAAATCTCTATTTATTAGCATATTTTTTTTATTCATTTTTTGTAGGAATACATCAAAAATATGGAATCAAAATCAAAATAAATCTAAGAAATACATTTACTATACTTAATACACTTAATTTAATAAATACACTTACCATATGTATTTTTAAAAAATTTTAAAATATAATATAAAATATTTAATTAATAATTATCAATTAAAGATTCTTTTTAAGAATCAATCATATTTTTAATAATTGTTAGAAATAATTTATATATATGTATATATATATATATTAGTATTTACGTGAAAGTAACATCTATGTTACTTATATGTTAACATATATGTTAATCTTATATAATAAGGATTAACATAAATCAAATTTAGAAACAATTTCCTGCCACTTTCATATATGTTACTTTCACGTAAATACTAATATTAAATAGTGGTAACACAAAATTTCTCGACCGGCTGGAACTTGAATAATCGCCTTCCTTCTCGCCGGTTGAACGTCGTGCACCTACAAAGAACTCTCACACCGGAGGGGTTTTCCGGTGAAGAGCCTCCGAAGCTTAAGTCAGTGTATGTTCAATCAATTCTCAAGAGTAAGCAACAGAATGATCTTGTTGAAGAAGAAAGGCTCACCCCCTTTAT